ACCGATTCAATGGTACCTAACAACAACAATCAGTATGATAATAGCCTCTGTGAATGACGTGGAGAGAGGGAGAGAAGTAATTCAAAGAGTGTACAGTTACTGTGTTGAAGTTGAGGTGTATTAATACCTCATTATTGTTGCTGTGTGCTGTTAAGTCAATTCCAATTCATAGTGACTCTGTACAACAGAGGGGAACTGCCCTACAGGGTTTCCTAGGTGATAATTTTTACAGACGGAGCCCTAGTATTGCGGTGGTTAAGGGATTAGCTGCTAACCAAAACGTTAAGCTGTTCAAAACCCACCAGCTGCTCTGTGGGAGTAAGATGTGGCCGTCTGCTTCCATAAAGACTTATAGTGAGTTTGTTTTTGACTTCACATGTATTTATTGCTATAAACAATTATCAGAGAACTTTAATAATTTTAAGGAGCTCTGGTAGCATAGTGGTTACAAACTGGGTTGCTAACCTTAAGGTCAGCAGTTCGAAACTACCAGCTCTTCCACGGTAGAAAGATGAGGCGTTCTGCTCCTGTAAAGATTCTGCCCCCCCCACCCCACCCTGTAAAGATTTATAGCCTCAGAAACCCTGTAGAGGGTCACTATGAGTCGGAACCAACTCCACGGCACACCACCACCACCACGTAATACTTTTATATATACTTTTTTGTTTATTAAAAATAATTTTGTAAGTTAATCTTTAATTATCTCAGAAAAATTAACATTTTCTTTCAGTAAGCATCCCAGAGCTCACACACTTAAATATCCACAGGAACTAGGCAAGTAATATGAAAGAGGAAAGTCGTCTAGGGGTCCCTAGATGGTGCAGTTAATGCACTTGGCTGCTAACCTGAACATTGGTGGTTTGAGTTCACTCAGAGGTGCATGAGAAAGGCCTGGTGATCTTCTAAAAAAAATAAGCCACTGAAAACCCTGTCAAGTACAGTTTTATACTCTGAGACACATGGGGTCGCCATGAGTAGGAGCTGACTCCATGGCAACTGGTTTTTAAAAAGAAGTCTGAGTTTAAGAGGAAAAAGCTGGAGAACACATGTCCTTTCTAAAAGTAGCAGCTAAAGCCAATTCCCACTACATGGAAAGCCGGTCTTACCAGGTTAGCTGGTTTTTCAAGAAAAGTCAGAAACTCAACTCGAATTTATGCATGAAATCCCCAATGTGAATATGTCAGTAATTAAGAAATGATTTTCAAAATATTTTGTGAACTTAACAAAAATACATCAAGAGGTCAGGGTTGGCTCATGAACTATCAGTTTCTTTTTTTTTACCTTTGTTGCAAGCGTGTATAAACATAGCATTTTAATTTTATCCATATAGCAGAAACTAAATGACTAATAATAAAAGCTCTTCACCAGTAACAGAGCCAGATTGAGATTCTAGTGCGTTTATCCTAAAAGTAGTTATTTCCTTAGGATAAGCGCTGGGCTGCCAACCACAAAGTCAGTGGTTCACACCTACCAGCCACTCCTTGGAAACCTTCTAAGGGGAGGAGCCCTGGTATGTGGCACTGTCAGATAAGCACTTGACTATAAATTTAATCTTAAGGTTGGTGGTTCAAACTCACCAACTGATCCTTGGACACTCTATACAGGGCTTATACTCTATAAGTGAGAACAGACTTGAAGGGGCTTAACAACAACATGAGCCAGAAATGGTACTTAAACAATAAACAATAATGATTTTGTAGCCTGTTTGCCTAACAAATGGAAATATTCCTACTGTTGTGGTTAGGTGCCATCAAGTTGGTACAGACTCATAGTGACCCTATGCACAATAGAACGAAACACTGCCTGGTCCTGGGCCAGCCTCACAATTGTTGCCACGCTGGAGCCCATTAATGCTGCCACTTTGCCAATCGATCCATCCTGCTGGGGGTCTTCCTCTTTTTCTCTGACCCTCCACGCTACATGATATCCTTCTCCAGCAACTGGTCCCTCCTGACAATATGTTTCCGAGGCTTGAAATCTTTATGGAAGCAGACTGCCACATACAATCAAGAAAGATGGCCAAAGTTTTACACTTGATTCATCCAGATGTGCTGAGTCTTCAAAATGTAAATTTTAGGCTGAAGCTCCAGTAAATAAATTATTCATGACTAAGGAGCTCTGGTAGTGTAGTGGTTACGAACCGGGCTGTGAACCGCAAGGTCAGCAGTTCGAAACTACCAGCGGTTCCGCAGGAGAAAGATGAGGCATTCTGCTCCCGTAAAGATTTACAGCCTCGGAAACCCTGTGCAGGGTAGCTATGAGTCGGAACCGACTCCACGGCACTTAACAACAACAACAATCAAATCAACTGGAGTCCTGGTGTGGCACTGTGGGCTAATAGGTCAGACTGCAAAGAACTACATGGTTGGTAGTTCAAACTCACCAGTTGCTCCTTGGAAACCCTATACTGGGGTCACTATGGGTCAGAATCAACTTGACAGCACTTAACAACAACAATCAAATCAACTGCCGATGCCTCCAAAACCATGCTTTAATTGTGGAGGACCTAATTGTAAAATATTTATATAAACTTAAAACTCAGCTGAACTAAGTTATATGAAGTTTTAAAATACCATGCTGGTATTTTAAAATTCTAGCTTAGTTTAATTGTTGTAGAGCTGATAAGACAGGGAGACTACAATTATCTGGACATTATTTATACAACATACTCATCCTTTCATTCAACATATATTGTAATGCCACAATTTCCAGTCTATGAGCTTGATAGATCTGCAAGTTTATAGACTGGTGAGGGGGCTACATTTACTACTTATTTCAAGGAAACATGGACCTAATGGTGCTACAGGGGATCCAAGAACAAGGAGCCTCTAGGTTGGTGAACTCGAGCTTGGTGGAACTGCAAGAACACAGCTCAGATTCTGTGAACTCAAAGTGATCTTTCTTTGGTATTCCTCCTTTTTTCAGGAGTTAGTGTACTCTTTTGTAAAGCAAGTTTTGACTGTAAAATTCTAACAAACTGGATTATCTTCTGATTTAAGCCACTTGATGTGGCACTGTAGGATAAGCAATGGACTGCTAACCACAAGGTTGGTGGTTCAAGCTCCTCAGAAAACCTATGTTGTTGTTATGTTATTAGGTGCCATCGAGTTGGTACCAACTCATAGACACCTTGCACAACGGAAGGAAACATTGCCCGTCCCTGCACCAACCTTTACAATGGTTGATACGTTTGAGCCCAATGCTACTGCCACTGTGCCAATCCATCTCACTGGGGGTCTTCCTCTTTTTCTCTGACCTTCCACTCTACCTAACATATCCTTCTCCAGGGTCCTTCCTGATATGTCCAAAGTATGATAGACCAAGTCTGACTGTTCTGGCTTCCAAGGAGCACTCTGGCTGTACTTCTAACACTTATACAGGGTCGCTGTGAGTAGGAAACAACTCAAAAGCACTAAGAACAACAATTCAATTGTAAACAACGTGTTACGTTTCTTTTGGGAAGCCAAAAACTAATATGAACTTGAGAATCATCAAAGCAAGCAGAGGCGAGGCTCACGGGTAGCAGCAGTTTTCATCTTGGCGCCAGGGTCACCTGAATGTAATTGGGTTTGCACAAAATGTAAACCAGCTTTCACTGCGGCAGTGACCAGAACGTGGTCTCATGGACTCCGCTGGAAGTCAGTAGGCCCGGCTCTAACTTTTAAACCCAGGTTTGGGGGAAGGCGATCTGAAATTAGGAATGAGTAGGGCCCACATTTCTTAGTGAAATGTTATTTATAGCAAAAGCCTGGAGAAGTCAGACAACAGCAGTGCTGCAGCGCGGTGCCACTGCCATGCAAGCAGGTCTCACACCGCTCACCTTCACAGTCGACCCTCGGCCACCCCCCGGGCTCCGGGCCTTGCGCCGACATGGAGTTAGAGACCCAAAGGCCGGTGAATAAGGCCAACACTGCTACTGGGCTCGCGCACCACATGCCTCCGCCACCCGTGCCCCCAAACAGACGCGCCGCTACCGCCCAGTGCTCTACACGATACAGGACAGACACGAGCGTTTACTAAGAACTTGCCGGGAGTTGCTAGGACATATGACGCACGTACACTGTGAATTTCCATTGGACAACCCGACAGGGGAAAGGAGAGGGGGCGGAGCCAAGGAGCCGCTTCTTTCCTTTCCCTGTCTGGCGCGTGCGCACTATTCTACGCGGTGTGCAACTCCCCGAGCTGAGAGGGACGCACTAAAGCAATTGGCCGACCTCTCGAAATGGAAGGCGGAATCTTCATACTGATTGGCTGCGACGTACGAGGCCCAAGCGGAACAGCCGGACGCCGTGGGCGGGCGGGAACGTGAAGTCTCCGCGTTGCCTGATGGGACTGTTCGGAGGCCGGTAGCTGTTGCCACTGGGGGACCACTCGTTACTGCTGCCGCCGTCGCTGCCGTTTGCTGTTTCTGCCGCCTTATGGCGGCCATCGGCGTTCACTTGGGCTGCACATCAGCCTGTGTGGCCATCTATAAGGTGAAGGACTTGGGGGGCTGGGCTATGCGGATAATGTCGGCCACTCGGTCGCCTGGCTGCATGTCGTTTACTGGGTTGGGAACGGCGCGTCGAGTGAAGTTGCAGTGGGAAGAGGTGAAGGGTCGTGTGGACCAGGCCTCATTCTCCGCGGCGACCCCGAGCGGAAAGCCTGCTACGTGCTGGCAAGGTCCCAGGGACGTCAGGGCCGAGGGATGCCCGGAGGTGGGCTTGCGATCCCAGTGGGGTCGCGGCTGCAGCGTGTTAAAAGATGTGTGCCGGGCTGCGGAACTGGGGCCCGAACATCTGCGAACCCGAGATCCCTGGACGGCTGCCAGGAGAGGGCGGGTTGCTGGCGATGTGGAACTGGAGTGGTGGCTCTGATGAACCGTGCCTGGCTGTGAAGCGAGTTGGTCGTGCGTGCTGTGCTGATTTGTCCTTTCTGGACTTGAGATTCAAAGTGAAGGGGGCTCGTGGCCTTCCTCTCATCGGTGGAAAGTCGGAAGGAACAAAATAACGAACTCCCTTGTTCTTGATTCCATGTTTCAATGTCAAATGATTGGGCAGCAAAAGCCAACGGGATTAGTGCTACTTAGTTTGTAAAAGAGAAGGGAAGAAGATGTATCTGTGGGGGAAGGGAGAGAAGTAGAAAGGCTGATGTAATAATAAGCTTGTTGTTATTGTATATAAAAAGGTGGTTGTTAGGCTTGATCCAATTACTGGCTCTGCAGAGCAGACTGAAAAAATGAGGCAGTTCTTGGAATGCAAGCCTTCTATAAAAACTAGATAATTTATAGTGGTAATTATCTACAAATTTAAAATACTGATATAGCAATCTCTTCTCCATATTTGTAAAATAACATTGACTCATACATGTCTGAGTATGTCTAATAAGCCTATATATTTCGTTTCCAAACAACTAATACAGTTGTGTATTTTTTTTATCCAGGATGGCCGGGCTGGTGTGGTTGCAAATGATGCAGGTGATAGAGTTACGCCAGCTGTTGTTGCTTACTCCAAAAATGAAGAGGTACAAGTCCTTTCCTGTTTGTACTTGGAAATGATTGGGAATTATATGTATTGTAATGTATTGCTTTTTTTCAGGTTGTTGGACTCGCAGCAAAACAAAGTAGAATAAGAAATATTTCAAATACAGTAATGAAAGTAAAACAGATCCTTGGCAGAAGGTAAGGGATGAAGTAATACTTTTACATATGGCAGTAATATTGTGTTTATAAGTTTTAAGCATAGCATGTGAAATAAAACTGGAAACACCATAGTTTGTCCTTTCGTTGCTTTTCATGACTGAGTCATTTCAGAACGTACACCCTGTCAGCTGTTTCTTTTGTTTATTTGTTTGGACTCTTCTCAAGGATGGGAGTCACTTAGACGTGTGTTTCTTGACTGACAGATCTTTTAATTGGCAGTGTTGGTAACTGCCAATATTCATTTTTGATAATTGAGTCATTTAGAGGGTAATTTGGACTATTCACATTTTTATATTTTACATGTTTTATTTTTTAACCGAGAACTTGAAAGATTTTGTAGAAATTTGAAGACTTTGCACTGTAGTAGGATTTTACAAAACCTGTGATAATTGATCATAATTTATGTAGAAACTATCGATTGATTTTTCTAGGTCCTTTGTGACACTTTCTTGGAACTAACTTTTCCAGTTGTCTGCACATTTCCTTATTAGAGAAATGGCTTAATTAAATTCCTAAGTAAGAATCAGGTTAATCTGTTGTAACTTTAAATTAAGAGATTAAAGAGGATTGCTTTCCCAGACTTCTGTTTCCTTAAATTATAGATTAGTATAATAATTAGAGGTTTTCATTTTCTCTAGAGTGTTAATACTTAATATATACTGTTTTTTTAAATTTCAAAGAGCTTTCACATCTGTTATTTTATTTAATCCTCTTAACACCCTGTAAGATTGGTAGGACAGGTATTTTCCCTCCTCATATATAGGTGAGAAAATCAAGGCAATTAGAAGTTATAGCATTCCCAAATTAGTTAGGAGAGGAACAAAATAGTACTTCAGTTTTGGTCTTTTCTCAACCCCAGGTTCTTTCCTTTGCACTTGGTTTAATTGAAGATTTAAGTAATAATTTACATGTTTATGGTATTTAAAATGCTGGGATTACAGATTAATTTCAATATATCTTTTATATAAATAATTATATTTTTGCTACTCAACTTTTTAGTTAACTTGAACTTGATATTAAATTCTGTTCCTTAGGATAATAATGCATTAAACCAAGAACAGTGACGTGTTATAGAGAGAATTCAAATTTTTGTGATGATACCTATACTTCTACATTCTTTTACTCATTCATAAGATTATTTCTGAGCATATTAAAAATAAGTCGGTTGGTGTCAAAAATTTTATAATTCCAAACTCCTGAAAAAAGTCAAGAGTTATACATAAGCCTTTAAGCTAGAACCACTGTAAGCAGCCAACAAAATGTTTTTGTTTGTGTCATGCTGTTATTTTGGGACAAATAGTCAGAATAATGTTGTGGCTGTCTTCTGCCATGTTATGTAGAAAGCTTTGTATTAACAGAAACAATGTAAGCTCACCTCTCTGGTCTGAAAGTGACCTTTTGATAAAGAAATGCCAGAGTGATAGATGGGTAACACATGGTCACAGCATGCTCCCTAGACCAAGGTTAGTAAGGGTGAGCACGCTTCAGACATCTTGCTACCACATGGTCCTGCTAGTCCTTCCCAGAACTAGCTGCTTTTTGGTCCAGGTTCTTTTCCCCTCCGTCTGTCTACCTGCCAGGCAATGGTGATTTTTTTTTTTTTTTTTTCACAGTAGTACCAGGTCTCAGCCTTTGAAGCATTTGGCCGTATGTAGAGGAACCAATCCTTTTGTTACCAAACCAGTAAGGCCTTTATAAGCCCCTGATCCAATACCATCCTGGGCAAACACCCACAGTAGGGCTTTCTCAGTCTTGGCATCATACCTGTTTCTCAGGGACTCACAGGTGTCTCCACTTAACTTGCTGCCGAAGTTATCCTTACACCCTCCCTGTAACTCTCGTTCCCCTGTGGCCTTCCAGCCAGAAATGCGGTCCTTGGACCTGGCTTCTCAGCAATTAGCCCTGAGAGGGAAGAATCGGCTGGCTCCTGGAAATACACTGAGAGCACACAGAGCTTCCCCACACCTTCAGATTTGCATCTTGCTGTCCAGGAAGTTTCCTTCAGCTAGCCTTCCTTCCCAGTTCACTATGGCCAGTACCAATAGCAGTGCGGGCATCCGGTGGTCCAGACAGGAGACACGAACTCTTCTCTCCATACTAGGCGAGGCGGAGTACATTCAGCGCCTCCAGACTGTGCATCACAATGCAGATGTCTATCAGGCTGTGTCCAAGCGAATGCAGCAGGAAGGCTTCCGCCGCACCGAACGTCAGTGCCGCTCCAAGTTTAAAGTTCTAAAGGCATTGTATTTAAAGGCATATGTTGCCCATGCCACAAGTATGGGTGACCCACCACACTGTCCATTTTATGATACGTTGGATCAACTTCTCCGAAATCAGATAGTGACTGACCCAGACAACTTAATGGAGGATGCTGCTTGGGCCAAGCACTGTGATCAGAATTTACTGGCCTCTGATCCCCCAGTGGAAGAGGGAACCAGCATTATAAATGCAAAAAGGACTCAGACAACAGATCATCAGCCTGTCTTGAAAACAGTTTCGGAATCCAATGAGGATTGTCAGCTGAGACTCAGTGACCGGACACAAGAAGCCAGTGATCTTGAGGACTCCTGGGATGAATCTTCGGGTGCAGGTAACTCCCAAGCATGTGAAGGATTGGGGTCCCGGAGCAACAATATTCTAAACAGTGTTTAGTAGTATCCTGTAGTTCCAGTTTCTTTCCTGCCCGTACCCCCTTTTTAACCTAATGGTGAGGAAAAGGGCTCCAGGTTTTAAAAAGCTATAAACCTAGGTGTGTAAGGTATTAACTCTTACTAAACTTAGAAGTGCTCAGTAAGAAAAAAACTCTTGGCATTATTTATAATGGGTACTTAGGAATTTGTAGATATGGAGTGGGTTGGATAACTACATGGAGAGGGTTTTAGGAAGGTTGAGATTGGGGAGGTTTTGAAGGTAAAATATCCAGGATAAGGAAATGAATTCTTTTCTCAGACATTGCCTGGAACTTCTACAGTTTTGTAATTTGTCTCAGTTCTGCTGCTGGCTCCAAGCATTCCATTAGCAGGAATGTCCTCGTTGCAACATTGTTGCTTTGTTTTTCAGGGTGCTCTCAAGGGACCCCCAGCTACAGCAGCTCCCACAACCTTTTCAGAGGTGCAGTTGCTCCCTGTCAGAGCAGCACCATGACCAGACTGGGTGTGTCCGGTGAGCCCAGTCCCTGCACCAGCACCCACCGAAATACTACTGGTGTAGCCTCCACACAGCGGCCTCAAGTCTCCTCTTCTAGAGTTCGTTTTGTTTCTGGTGGAGATAGGCCTTTGACCAGTGAGCCACCACCAAGGTGGGCAAGGCGAAGAAGGCGTTCAGTAGCCAGGACTATTGCTGCTGAGTTGGCAGAAAACAGGAGATTGGCACGAGAACTTTCAAAACGTGAGGAAGAAAAATTGGACAGGCTGATTGCTATCGGTGAGGAGGCCAGTGCTCAACAAGACACTGCCAATGAGCTTCGCAGGGATGCTGTGATCGCAGTCAGACGTTTGGCAACAGCAGTGGAAGAGGCAACTGGTGCTTTTCAGCTAGGGCTTGAAAAATTGCTTCAAAGGTTAATTTCCAATACCAAAAGTTAGGTACTGATTACAAAAGGGTGTATTTCCTAAACTAACAAGTCTAGTTTCAACACCTGCCTTCTAGTACTCTAGCTCCTTTCCTGATGCACATAGTCCACAGACTGGAAAAAAGAAGTGGATGGATCATTAATATGCAGAGTAATGGCAGAATACATGGTAATTCATTTTCCCAGGATTCTCTACTAATTGGCAGATGTTCCAGAAATTTGAGGGGTGGCCTAATGGAAAAAGGATTGAGCCAAGTCCAGAGACCTAGTTAGTCCTGGCTTTGACATCGATTCCCAATGCGACATGAGGCAATTTAGTTTACCTCTCTATAACAGTTCCTTCATCTGTAAAAAGGGGGAATAGATGATATTCCTGACCTGCCTACCTCACAGGGTTGTTGTGAGGATCAGATGGCTAATAGATGTGAAAAGGTTTTAAAGTTTAAAAGCACTATACACGTCTAACTTTTAATATGACCTTGACAGGGGTAAGGCACATTAGTCTACAAAATACAGAAGTATGGTTGTATACCATGACCTCACTCTTTGAACCCTTCCTTTTCTAGTTTAATTTTCTACTGATCTGCTTCATGGAGTTTCAGATCTTCCTTTTTAAAGTCTCTCTGTAGGTCACTTGAGGACTCCTGGTGTGGTGCTGTATGATCAGCACTGGACTGCTAACCACAGGGGTCGGCAGTTCAAATTCACCAGCCACTCCTCGGAAACCCTATTTGGGGTCGCTGTGAGTTGGAACCAACTCAGTGGCACTTGACAGCAACATAGGTCATTTTTAGGGAGTCCTGGTGGTACAGTGGTTAGCACGTGGCTGTTGGCCATGAGGTGAGTTTGAGCCCACCAGGCAGGAGCAAGCTGTGGTGGTCTGCTTCCCTAAACATGATAGCCTTGGAAACTGGGTAGTTCTACTCTTTCCTAAACGGAGTCCTGGTATGGCACTGTGAGATAAAGCACTAGACCGGAAGGTCTGTTTGAACCACAAGGTTGGTAGTTCAAACTTAACCAGCTGCTGGGTTGCTATGAATGAAAACTAACTCCATGGCACTTACCAACAACAAAGGGTCCCTGTGAGTCCGAATCAACTATGACAATGGGTTTGGTTAGCAGTTCATTTGGCTAATGTAAACAAAATGTACCTTTTGGTTTTCACTGCTATACAACAGCATGTCTAGCACATGTCTTCTAGTAAGCGCTCTTACTAGCCAGACCATCTTTCCTTTATTGTACTAGTTCTTAGTCTGTCAACACACAATATCGAGAACAGTTGGCAGGGAGTCAACAGTAGTGTGCTATGGTTCATAACTTTAATAAAAATAAAATAATTGGCTGTTTTATAAATAGTAAATGTTTGTAAATGGTTTGCATTTTCTATTATTTGGGTCCCTTTTATGTATGAGTGTATGTCTTTTAAGTTTTGGTTGCCATTTGAACATTGTGAAAACAGTTTGACTTATATCAGCATCTCAGTCTGTTTTTAGCTAATTTCATTCTTTTCTGTCAGCTGTTTTCTGTGCAGTATGTTGTAGAGGCCAAGTCCCCAAAACTTTTCTTGTAGGGCACTGTCAGATGAAAGTTCATCAAGTTTTTGGTGTCCAAGGGGTTTCAAAGAGTTAGTGGGAAAATTCCATTATGTTCTCATTCAAAGTTTCAATGATCTGAAGCCCACTTATATAGTGAAAGAGAACAGCTTTGTTCCTCTAGCTTTGGGAACACTTGAGGGTAGTGTGGATAAAGACTGCCTACAGGTGATAATAACGTCTAAGCACAAGCCCTTAACAAATAAAATCCGCCCCCTTCCTATGGGAGATAGGTATTCAGCCACACTTCCAATTTACTCTAGAAAGGAAGGCACTACTGGCCATTACTGAACTAACTGAAAGCTTTTAGTGGTTTCCTTTGTACTTTCAGGAAATACAAGTAAGAGGCATTGGGATTTAAAAACCTTTTCTACAATTTAGTGGCTAAAAAAATGGGGAGGACATGTTGAGAAAGGTTTTGTTTGGCTTTTATAGTTTACAGACCTGGGTGCTTAACTAATGCTAGAAATAGAAATAGATGAAGTGGTCCCCAAAGTAGTCGGAACATAACCTTGATTAGGTGGCAAATTAGCAACTGCTCTGATGGATAGGTGAGGTAGCTTGGTATGGTAGAGTACATTGGAACCTAGTTACTATTCCCAGGTTCAGATCCTGGGGCGGTTTGTTATATTGAGCAAGTCACTTACCCTTTTTGTACCTCGATATCTTTCTCTAAAATGAGGGATTTGTGTAGGTGGCTTTTCTAGCACCCTCCAATTCTAAAAACAATAAAAGCATTAACAGTAAGGGGCAAAAGGAAAAATGAGTATATGAAATAATATTTTCAGTCACAGCATATTGGTGCATGTTTGAACTACTGGAAACATTATAAAGCACGTTGTGCCACATTAATATATATTACTATAGTCATGAACTTCTAAGTACCACAGATTCCTTGCTCTAAAGGCACAGTGCTCTTAAGGCATTAGAATGGATATATACGAGGGAACTTCAAAAAGTTTGTAGAACAATTGAATTAAAGTTAATGGAATTTTTTTTGGAAAGCTTTTTAAAGCCCCCTTGTATATATTCATCTTCTCAATTTTTCTAGGCTGTGGTATGGAAGGTAAGTGTCAGTTGTAATTTAATAAGGCTGGTGTAGATAAAGCCTTCTGAAAAAACACCGACTACGTTAATCTATTCATGGTAGCAAAGTACACAGGCAAGGATTTATATGAGATGAGTGCTATTAAAAAACAAGTGGCGTTAAGCTTTGGAGATTGTATTGTGAAAATCTCTTGAAAAAGGTTATGATGTGGGAAAAGGCAAAGTAAGGTGCTAAAGGAGTAAATAAGACTAAAAATGCTGTTCAGAAGGGATGTTGCAATAGGGAGGCAGCTGTATGGGAGAATGCAAGCCTAGGAATCTGGCCTGAGTTCTAGACCTAGCCATTAGTAGCTGTATATCCTTAGGCAAGTTGTTTCACCATTCTGTAACTTAGGTTCCTCATCTAAAAAGTGGGAAACTACTAATTGTCCTACTACCTACCTCACAGGGATGTTGTGAGGATCAAATGAACCAACAGATGAATGAATGTAAAATGCTTTTAAACATGTAAGGCACTATAATGTAACGAGTGGAGAAGAGCCTATAGCACTTTCGTGCTGGGATTTGTCAAGGGTGTGGGCCTACTGACAGTGCACGAGACATTTAAAGAGGGAAGAGGACAAGGAAAAGACATTGCTAGTGAAGGTCCAATGGTAGGGTTAACTGCCTCCTACTAAGGATCATAATGTAAATGAGGTGCTGGGTAAACTACCCCCACCCCCGTCTTTGTTTTTCTGTTAAATTAATTAATCCTGGTGTGGAAAATAAAGCTTTTACTATACGTAGCTGTGGGTCATTCCACTGTTTTCTGATGGTGTCCGTGGTCATTTGTCGCCTCCATCCTCTGGTTTCTGCTATCATCCAGTGTCACTAGAAACCACCTGTGCGTTCTGTCTTCAAATGAGAGAGAGACCCTTTTTCGGGGCAATTCAGAATAAATTTCCATCACTAAGAGTTGTGTACATTTCTGAAATATCTTTCCTGGTAAATGACGACCGTATCTTAGTGGTAGGTGACCTATACAGAATAGCATCAATTATTCTGGTAGACTAAAATTGTATTCTAAAGAAAACAGAACTGTTAGATATTAATGCTGAAATGGCATTACCATTGCAAAGAAACACTATGAGCCCACTTGATCTTTTTTTTTTTCCCTTGTAGGATAAACACTGAACCACAAGGTCAGTTTGAACCACCAGGTCAGAAGTTCAAACCCACCAGCCGCTCCTCAGAAACCCTCTTAGGGTCACTTTGAGGCAGAAATAACTTGACAGCTCTTAACAACAATAATAGCTCTTGAATATTTGGAACGTGATGTTCGGTTTAGAAAAAGGAAGAATGGAGGATTTAGTGAAAAGTATTAAACTGTATTAAAGATCTAAAATCTAATTACTTCTGCCGTAATTGTGTGACAGGGCAAAAACTGCATATTTCTTCTAAGTGGTTTTTAGGTGCTAGAGAAGCCATGTAAAATGAACTAGTCCATTTTAAACCCCTTGTGTCTGCCTTTTATTTATATAGGTTAGAGTCCTCAGATATATAGTAACTCTTTAGCAGTTACTATAGGTACCATCAAGTCACTTATGACTCATAGTGAACCCATGTGACTGTTCCATGAGTTTTTTTTTTAAGACTGTAATCTTTTAACAGAATCAAACTGTCACGTCTTCCACCTGCAGAAATCCTGGGTGATTCGAACCACTAACCTGGCTGAACACTTAACCATTGTAACACCAGTGCTCCTTCTTCAGCTGTTAACTTTCAAGTCCTCTTACTAAGCATTTCAGGCTGGTCTCGAAATACAATAGTTCCAACCCCTTAGAAGAAATAGTTCATTTAAAGGTAGTGGTCTAGTTCGTCTTGGCTTCTAGGTAAAAGTCAGTGGTTAAAGCATCCAGCCCCTGCTCATTTCAGTGTTACTGGGAGGCAGTATGATGAAGTAGCCGGATAGAGAAGGTTGGGGCCAAGTCCTGGGTCTGCTCCTTATTTATCTGTCAGTGAGTTCTTCAATCTTGTTAAAATAATAGCTGCCAAACTAAGTGCACTTAGGTGTTTTAAAGATCAATGAGGCAATAACTACACAACACCCTTTGTTTGAATTTTCTCATTACCGTAGTATTTTTGTCTAGTATACAATGTAGTATATAATGCCCACATTGTATAGGACGTTATTGTAGATCTATCTAGTACTCTGCACGCTGGATTCATTCTCATTAATACCTTTCCGTGTACAAATTGATACTTTTGTTCAATTGTTTTGATTCTTAGATAAGAGAATATATAAAATATATCACTGATATGAAAAATCACCCTTAAATAGTAACTGTTTATAGCAGCGAGGTCGACAAGAAAGAACTGTTGCATTTGAATGCAA